TAGTGCTTACCGAGGGCTCCAAGCACTCCATCAGACACCATCAGCACTGTAGTCCCTTCATCCAGCGTTACAGCACTCGCCGTCCTCCACCCACCCTGGACCCAAGACCAGGATCCAGCTTCCAGTGAGTGAACCTCTCCTACTCCAGAGAGCGTAGCAGGAACAGCTCTTAAAAGAGCTAGTGATTATAATCCCAGGGGAGTTTAGTGATATAGCAATCCCTGGGGTAGATACAGCCATTTCCCCCACACATGAGCAGTGGCGTCGCTGGGGGGGGGCATGGCCCCCCTACATCATGCTGTGTCCCCCCCTTGGGCTCCCCCAAATGCCAGCAACATGTTCTTACATTCTATTCCCTCAGGCTGTAACAGTGTGTGAGTGTGTGACAGCCCGGGGGAGGGAATGCAGGACTGAGGAGCTCAGCTGGAACGAAGCCCCACCTCCCGCACATAAGCCCCGCCCCGCAGTTAAGCAGCAGACCTGCTGCTGCTTGAAAGGCAAGAAGATGGCTGTCTGATCCCCAGCAACTACTCAGGTGTGTGTGTGTCTGTCTGTGTGTGTCTGTCTGTCTGTCTGCCTGCTAGTGAGGAAACTTGTGTGTGTATGGACTCAACAGTGTGTGTGTGTATGGACTCAGCAGTGTGTGTGTGTATGAACTCAGCAGTCTGTGTGTATGGACTCAGCAGTCTGTGTGTGTGTATGGACTCAGCAGTGTGTGTTTATGGTCACAGCAGTGTGTGTGTATAAATTCAGCAGTCTGTCTGTGTGTATGGACTCAGCAGTTTGTCTGTGTGTATGGACTCAGCAGGCTGGGTGTGTGTATGGACTCAACAGTCTGTGTGTGTATGGACTCAGCAGGCTGGGTGTGTGTATGGACTCAACAGTCTGTCTTTGTGTATGGACTCAGCAGTCTGTATGTGTGTATGAACTCAGCAGTTTGTGTGTATGGACTCAGCAGGCTGGGTGTGGGTATGGACTCAACAGTCTGTGTGTGTATGGACTCAGCAGGCTGGGTGTGTGTATGGACTCAACAGTCTGTCTTTGTGTATGGACTCAGCAGTCTGTATGTGTGTATGAACTCAGCAGTTTGTGTGTATGGACTCAGCAGGCTGGGTGTGGGTATGGACTCAACAGTCTGTGTGTGTATGGACTCAGCAGGCTGGGTGTGTGTATGGACTCAACAGTCTGTCTTTGTGTATGGACTCAGCAGTCTGTATGTGTGTATGAACTCAGCAGTGTGTGTGTATGGACTCAGCAGTCTGTGTGTGTATGGGCTCAGCAGTCTGTATGTGTGTATGGACTCAGCAGTCTGTGTGTGTATGGACTCAGCAGTCTGTATGTGTGTATGGACTCAGCAGTCTGTGTGTATGAACTCAGCAGTCTGTGTGTATGGACTCAGCAGTCTGTGTGTGTATGTGTGTATGGACTCAGCAGTCTGTGTGTATGAACTCAGCAGTCTGTGTGTATGGACTCAGAAGTCTGTGTGTGTGTATGGACTCAGCAGTGTGTGTGTATGGTCGCAGCAGTGTGTGTGTGTATATAAATTCAGCAGTCTGTCTGTGTGTATGGACTCAGCAGTTTGTCTGTGTGTATGGACTCAGCAGGCTGGGTGTGTGTGTATGGACTCAGCAGTCTGTGTGTATGGACTCAACAGTCTGTCTGTGTGTATGGACTCAACAGTCTGTCTGTGTGTATGGACTCAGCAGTCTGTATGTGTGTATGGTCGCAGCAGTGTGTATGTGTATAAATTCAGCAGTCTGTCTGTGTGTATGGACTCAGCAGTTTGTCTGTGTGTATGGACTCAGCAGGCTGGGTGTGTGTATGGACTCAACAGTCTGTGTGTGTATGGACTCAGCAGGCTGGGTGTGTGTATGGACTCAACAGTCTGTCTGTGTGTATGGACTCAACAGTCTGTGTGTATGGACTCAGCAGTCTGTATGTGTGTATGAACTCAGCAGTGTGTGTGTATGGACTCAGCAGTCTGTGTGTATGGACTCAGCAGTCTGTATGTGTGTATGGACTCAGCAGTCTGTGTGTATGAACTCAGCAGTCTGTGTGTATGAACTCAGCAGTGTGTGTTTATGGTCACAGCAGTGTGTGTGTATAAATTCAGCAGTCTGTCTGTGTGTATGGACTCAGCAGTTTGTCTGTGTGTATGGACTCAGCAGGCTGGGTGTGTGTATGGACTCAACAGTCTGTGTGTGTATGGACTCAGCAGGCTGGGTGTGTGTGTATGGACTCAGCAGTCTGTGTGTATGGACTCAGCAGTCTGTGTGTGTGTATGGACTCAGCAGTGTGTGTGTATGGTCGCAGCAGTGTGTATGTGTATAAATTCAGCAGTCTGTCTGTGTGTATGGACTCAGCAGTTTGTCTGTATGGACTCAGCAGTCTGTATGTGTGTATGGACTCAGCAGTCTGTGTGTATGAACTCAGCAGTGTGTGTTTATGGTCACAGCAGTGTGTGTGTATAAATTCAGCAGTCTGTCTGGACTCAGCAGTTTGTCTGTGTGTATGGACTCAGCAGGCTGGGTGTGTGTATGGACTCAACAGTCTGTGTGTGTATGGACTCAGCAGGCTGGGTGTGTGTATGGACTCAACAGTCTGTCTGTGTGTATGGACTCAACAGTCTGTGTGTATGGACTCAGCAGTCTGTATGTGTGTATGAACTCAGCAGTGTGTGTGTATGGACTCAGCAGTCTGTGTGTATGGACTCAGCAGTCTGTATGTGTGTATGGACTCAGCAGTCTGTGTGTATGAACTCAGCAGTGTGTGTTTATGGTCACAGCAGTGTGTGTGTATAAATTCAGCAGTCTGTCTGGACTCAGCAGTTTGTCTGTGTGTATGGACTCAGCAGGCTGGGTGTGTGTATGGACTCAACAGTCTGTGTGTGTATGGACTCAGCAGGCTGGGTGTGTGTATGGACTCAACAGTCTGTCTGTGTGTATGGACTCAACAGTCTGTGTGTATGGACTCAGCAGTCTGTATGTGTGTATGAACTCAGCAGTGTGTGTGTGTATGGACTCAGCAGTCTGTGTGTATGGACTCAGCAGTCTGTATGTGTGTATGAACTCAGCAGTGTGTGTGTATGAACTCAGCAGTGTGTGTTTATGGTCACAGCAGTGTGTGTGTATAAATTCAGCAGTCTGTCTGTCTGTCTGGACTCAGCAGTTTGTCTGTGTGTATGGACTCAGCAGGCTGGGTGTGTGTATGGACTCAACAGTCTGTGTGTGTATGGACTCAGCAGGCTGGGTGTGTATGGTCGCAGCAGTGTGTATGTGTATAAATTCAGCAGTCTGTCTGTGTGTATGGACTCAGCAGTCTGTATGTGTGTATGGACTCAGCAGTCTGTGTGTATAAATTCAGCAGTCTGTCTGTGTGTATGGACTCAGCAGTGTGTGTGTGTGTATAAATTCAGCAGTCTGTCTGTGTGTGTGTATGGACTCAGCAGTTTGTCTGTGTGTATGGACTCAGCAGGCTGGGTATGTGTATGTGTCACGGTTCTCACCTGATAAACAGACGGCAAGACGTGGTCGCTCTTGGAGTTCCCAACAGGGGACTTGAACCGGGGATCTTCTCAGTCCTGGTCCTGCTTTCTACCTCTGAGCCACAGCAGCTATTTACAGTGAAGACTGATTCCAGTCCTGTTCATCCTGACATGGCTACTACTCTGGGGGCTGCACCTTGACTTGGCTGTGTTTCACCTGACTCTGATCAGTCATCAGCAGGGTATATAAACCCAGCCTCGCCCTGTGCTCAGGGTCAAGTCTTTGATCCTGTTTGTTCTAGTTTTCCTGTTTCATCGCTTCGCATTATTGACCCCGGCTTCCTGACTCGTTTATTCTGACTTCTGGCATCCCTTGACTTCGGCTACTCCTCGTTGTTCCTGTCCTCTGGCATCCTTTGACCTCGGCTATCCCTCGACCATCCTGCTGGTTCAGTCCTTGCCTGTCCTGCGTATTGGTACTGCATCCTGCACAGCCCCCGTGCACAGACCCACAGGCCAGGTGAATTCTTACCTGACCACCTCGGCCTGTGGCTATCTGCAAGGGTGAGCATCATATCTGCGCTACAGACTCCCAACTCAGGTAAGACCCTGACATAAGACTTGACCATTATGGAGTCCGCAGAGATGTGCTCACCCTCGACCCAGCGTGTGTCCAGCCTGGCCCAGACTGTTTCGGAGCTGCAGCAAGAAATTTTATTCCTTAAAGGCGCAGTACATCCAGCCCCGGAACCAGCTTTTCCTGAACCGTTTGTCATCATGCCCGACCGATTTGATGGTAGCCGCACATCCTTTCAGTCTTTCAAGATGGATTGTGAGGTGTTGTTTTCTTTAAAGCCTCGAACATATGCCACAGAATTCATCAGGGTCAGAGCGGCTATCAACCTGTTGTCTGGACGCATCAAAGTTTGGGCTCACCAAATGTTGCAGACGAAGAGTCCTGTCCTGGTCAGCTGGGAATCCTTTAGTACTGCTATGGACTCACAATGTAAGACCACTGTGGCCAAGTCAGCTCCACGTACTAAAAAATCTCAGACTCTTCCTAACCAAGAAACCGAGTACCACCACTACGCCCCAGAAATGCCTCCTTATGTTCCAGCTCCCAGGAAAACTCCAGAGGTATCCGGTGTTCCACTTGACCCTGTGGAACCTATGCAATTAGGACTCGTCCACTGCAAAGTGACACCTAAGGAAAAAGACCGAAGGAGAAGCTATGGCCTATGTTACTACTGTGGAGAAAAAGGGCATTTCATCACGCTTTGTCCTGTTCGCCCTCCTAGACCTCCAGCTCTCCGACTTGGTACTAGTTTCCTTCGCCCTGTGTACACCGCATACCAGCCTAAAAAGCCAAATAGAAGCCGTTGTGCTTGCACATGCTTGGCTTCCGCGAGAAAACCTCCATCCCCTGCTCCAGAGCCTCCTGCATCTACTCCCGAAGTTGCTTCCTGTGATACCACCACTACTTCCTGCCCGCCCGAAGAGGTTTTACCTGTGGATTGTGCCGTTGCTTCTAATGGCACTATAGTCCGTAAAGAAGACCTTGAAATGTTCGAAAAAGCATTGTTAGCTGCGAACACTGCTCCTGCCAAAGTTTTGAAAGTGCTTGCCACCTGTACCCGGAACCTAAAAGACCTGGACAATTCTCCAGCCGTACCAGAAGCCGGTACTGCGGACTCCCAAGCTGTAAAGGGAATCCTTGCTGGGGAGTTTGACTATGGGGACTCACTGGATTCAGATAGTGACCCTGGAGAGGTGTACTATGCTGACAGTGAACCTATTTACGCCCGGAGGTCGTTTTTAAAGGGGGGGGTACTGTCACGGTTCTCACCTGATAAACAGACGGCAAGATGTGGTCGCTCTTGGAGTTCCCAACAGGGGACTTGAACCTTGGGGATCTTCTCAGTCCTGGTCCTGCTTTCTACCTCTGAGCCACAGCAGCTATTTACAGTGAAGACTGATTCCAGTCCTGTTCATCCTGACATGGCTACTACTCTGGGGGCTGCACCTTGACTTGGCTGTGTTTCACCTGACTCTGATCAGTCATCAGCAGGGTATATAAACCCAGCCTCGCCCTGTGCTCAGGGTCAAGTCTTTGATCCTGTTTGTTCTAGTGTTCCTGTTTCATCGCTTCGCATTATTGACCCCGGCTTCCTGACTCGTTTATTCTGACTTCTGGCATCCCTTGACTTCGGCTACTCCTCGTTGTTCCTGTCCTCTGGCATCCTTTGACCTCGGCTATCCCTCGACCATCCTGCTGGTTCAGTCCTTGCCTGTCCTGCGTATTGGTACTGCATCCTGCACAGCCCCCGTGCACAGACCCACAGGCCAGGTGAATTCTTACCTGACCACCTCGGCCTGTGGCTATCTGCAAGGGTGAGCATCATATCTGCGCTACAGACTCCCAACTCAGGTAAGACCCTGACAGTATGGACTCAACAGTCTGTGTGTATATGGACTCAGCAGGCTGGGTGTGTGTATGGACTCAACAGTCTGTCTGTGTGTATGGACTCAACAGTTTGTCTGTGTGTATGGACTCAACAGTCTGTCTGTGTGTATGGACTCAACAGTCTGTCTGTGTGTATGGACTCAGCAGTCTGTATGTGTGTATGGACTCAGCAGTCTGTATGTGTGTATGGACTCAGCAGTCTGTGTGTATGAACTCAGCAGTCTGTGTGTATGAACTCAGCAGTCTGTGTGTATGGACTCAGAAGTCTGTGTGTGTGTATGGACTCAGCAGTGTGTGTGTATGGTCGCAGCAGTGTGTGTGTGTATAAATTCAGCAGTCTGTCTGTGTGTATGGACTCAGCAGTCTGTGTGTATGGACTCAGCAGTCTGTGTGTATGGACTCAGCAGTCTGTGTGTATGGACTCAGAAGTCTGTGTGTGTGTATGGACTCAGAAGTCTGTGTGTGTGTGGACTCAGCAGTCTATGTGTCTGTGTGTGTGTGTGTATGGTCAGCAGTCTGTGTGTCTCTTTGTGTAAGAACTCAGCAGTCTGTGTGTCTGTGTATGGACTGTATCAAGAGAAATGTGTTTGTTTTTTAATAATCCCTGGTGGAAAATAATGAATTCTCCACCAGGGATTATTTTAAAAAAAAACACATTGTGTCGGGGGCAGGGCTTAACATACGGCAGGGGCGGGGTCAAACTGCAGTGAGGGCGGGGTTAAATGTGCCCACCTACTTTAGTCCCTGGCCCACCATGTGCCCCCCCCTAAAAATGAATCCTAGAGCCGCCAATGCTTCCACTTGAGCAACTTTAATCTTCATGTCTGAGAATATCATCTGTAGTTGATTGCATTTTGTATCAATCTGTGAGAAATGTACTTCTATCGTAGTCAGTTTTTCCTGCATGGTTTTTAATTCTTGTTTTAATTTTTTAATTCCATAGTGCTGGTCGTGATCATCTTTTTGGATCATCTTTTATATTCTTAGAGAATTTTTTCAGATAGCTGGTCAGGATCTCTTCTGTGGTCAGGCATGTGTTCCTGGGCGTCCTGAGGGAGATTGTGTTATTGCGGAGTTATTGCATCCCCATTATCTGGGAATATTTAGGAATTATTTTGGGAAGGAGAAAAAAAAAACCCCTGATAATCTTTTCTCTGGTTGCCGTTCCTTTTTATCTCTTTTCTTCTTGTCTTCCTGCACCTTTTTTGAAACCCATTTTATCGCTTGAAGGCTAAGGTGCAGTTACCAAAGACAAACAAAAAAAGAACCTATGCCTGCGCCAATTAACCAAAAAGGAAAAATGTCACCTCTATTATCCCTTTTTCCTTTTTCTTTCCTCTTCCCGTATTTCCTTCTATCTTTATATTTCTTTGGACAACACTGCCCTTGATATTTATACCTAATCCAGTATTTTTATGTAGTTAGCCTGCGTTTATTAGTTGTTTGTATAGAATTGCTGCAGGTCTGTCAATGCTCCTTAATTCACCTTTTAACCTCTCTACTGAGTCGAATCCAGTACAGAGATCTAAATATATAGATTGAGATAGATTTATATATATATTACAGAGATAGATTTACTTATATTTTCCATTTGCTTGCCGGTCATTCTTCCCTTCCAATATTGTTCCTTCCACTTGGCTTAACTCCACCACAAGTCCCCCTCCTAATCTTCAAAAAACACATCAGAATAAATGCCCTCCGTAATCAGCTTCACCTCAAAGGCTGCTTCCAATGACCAGCTTTTCCTTGCTGAGGATTCTCTCAGTGCAGGAGCTGACGGCGTTCCACGTGTGCCGCGATGATCACAGGTCTCGCCTCCTCATAGCCTCGCCACTGACGTCAACATAACTACGTCATACATCCTACTGGATGTTTAGATCTTGAGCGTGGCAGAGGATTTCTGATGGTCTTCTTAGGACAGATTAACCATCTCTATTCCTGTAGGCGGAAACCATGGTGGGTTCTCCAGCCGTGGCAGTCTGGGCAATAACCATCAAGCTGGGCACTAACAATCCAGCCTGGGCATCAGCCAACCAGCCTGGGCATCAGCCAACCAGCCTCGGCAGTATCCATTTAGCCTGGGCATCAATTTTCCATCTTAGGCAGTAACCATCCAGCCTGGGCAGTAGCCTTCCTACCTGTGCAGTAACCATCCAAACTGGGCAGTAACCATCCAGCTTAGGCATTACCCATCCAGCCTCGGCAGTATCCATTTAGCCTGGGCATCAATTTTCCATCTTAGGCAGTAACCAGGCAGTTGCCTTCCTACCTGGGCAGTAACCATCCAATTTGGGCAGTAACCATCCAGCTTAGGCATTACCCATCCAGCCTAGGCAGTAACCATCCAACCTTGGACTAGAAATGACCAGGGATTAATAACGTTCTACAATCACTGAACATCGGGGACAAACACCTCAATAGCAGGGAGCTAGTGTCTTTCCCTTAGATTACCTAGAAAGTCCTTTTCCTAAACTGTCGTGTCTGTATAACATTTCCATTCAACCTCTAAGAATCTGAAGGCTGGTCTTGATACAATATTAGAGAATTCCTGGCATCTTAACCAACTTATCATCAATACAAGTTACCAACTACACACCCAGTGTCTAGAGGATCTGTTAACGAGCAAGGAGACACCGGTGTGACTAAATGTGTCAATGGAGACCTACATTTAGGCTACAGGTAAAGCCTTCACTTAATGTACAGGTAATACACACCTGTCTGGTACAGCATTATCAGCCACAAGCCGTGCCCTTATCAATAAAGCTTTATTAGTGGATTTTATGACAATATAATTTATTACTGCTATCATAACTCCACTTGTGATCTAGATCCAGTGTACTGTAGGTAGATATTTGTCAGGATTACAGTATGATCCAGCACGTAGAATTGTGTAACACAGGGGACTGATGTCACCTTAGAATGGCCGGACCAATGTACCAAAGAATAGTCAGAAATAGCCGAGGTCAAGGGAGGCAGAAAGAGACACAACAATAAGGAAAATCCAGGGGTCAGGGATGCCAGAAAACAGGAAAGTCAATATCAATGCCAAAGTCAAATAACCAGAATAACCAGAATCAATAACGCGCTCTCGGACAACCACAAGGGAAACCACGACAGGGCACAGAGCAAGAGGAGAACTGGGCCTAAATACCCTTCCTGTGGATCTGATTGGTTGTAACCGGCCTTTGACCCCAAAGGCAGTTACCAGGTTCCTATTTGCATGATTGCTGCTCAGCACAAACCCTTTTGTGTATTGATTGCTGCTCGGCACAACTTTTCCTGTCAGGACAGTAAATGCCATTAATCACATTTTTATGTGCAGATGAATACATGACAATATTATACAGAGTAACATAATATAGAGTAACTACTACAGAATTCCAGTAATAAATAATACTGCACCTTCTCTCAGGTTAAAACTCACATTTTAGGAAACATATCTTCATCAGATAAAACCAGGTTTCAGGGAAATCATGACTCCTCGCGGCATGTTGTCAGAGCTTGGAGTGTCGCTTCCACAGAACAGTCCGACCCAACCTGCGCCCATGGTTTATACACAATTTATAATTCATTTCATAGCGTAGGATCCGTGGAATTATTGTCTCTGTCGTCACATTTTATATTTAATGACAAGAAATTTAAAACGTTAGTGTTTATTTACAGAAATCTGCTTGTATTTTCCGTCATTGATATATAAAACATATACATGTGAGCAGTGGTCTATTTTGTTTTGGTGCTGCCTTAGGCATGACTAAACCTGGGCACCCCCTAATCTAAATTTGCCACACCCCTTCCTGTCAAGGCTGCACCTCTTCCTGATTAAGAACCACTTTAGACTACACTGTTACAAAATGCCTTTTGTAACTTTTATTTTATGCGACAAATTGCCCTGCTTCCCTGTGTAGCCCGTGAAGTTACACAGGCTGCAGTATCTGAAATGGCCAGTAGATGGCACATGGACTCAGTATGCTGTTAATAAAACATTGAGCTTTGATCACATGACTTGCTGAAATCAGGAGAGGAGTGTGGCATCATCGCAGGGCCTGTCAGGACTTCCTGCACAGCTCTGAGGGAGGAGGATTCTAAGAGTGACCTCATGCTGAGCCAGAGGGAGGACATGTGAGAGACTGTAGCACAGAGATAGGACCTGGCTGAGAGAACTTGTTTCACCCAAGATCACACCAGCTGAGAGAGGGACCTGCAGGAAAAAGAAAGAAGACAAGCACTGAGTCCAGACGTCTGGCGAATCCAGTGAGAGGAGACTGCTGCTGACTGACTGGTTAATCGTGTTGTGAGGGTAAGCCAAGCCTCTCCCTGTATCGCCACAGGGCACCTGTCTCCTCACTCACAGTAAAGACTC